AAATGTCTGGGTAAAACAAATAAACAAAACAAAAACACTTCCTCCTATTGAACAGTTTATTTTATTTTAAGAAACATGTACAGGGCTCAGCAATAAGGACTGCCCGGTGGCCCAGGGCCAGCGTGAGAGACGCTTGGGACAGTAGACAGGATCATTACTGGCCCGATTGGGACAGTGCTGCCTTGTCACTAACATTTAATTTGTCTGCGACTATTTGTCAATTGCGTGCATTTTAAGTTTGTGCTTTTAAGTCTTTAAACACCACCTTGTCTGTGATGTCGTAAATGCCATATTGCTTTAAGGTTCCTCTTATCTGATTTGATGTTTTGGGCATGCAATTTTTGTCCATAACCTGGTAACAACCAGTACAGAGAAGAAACAGCAACATGGCGGCAGCATCAAAATATAAGGCTAAAAGAAAATGTCTGTTTCTAATGTCTTGGAAGCAGACATTTACATGTAAACAATGTGACAAAAAAATTAAGAGATGTTTTGCACAGTTTGCCGTCAGTTTGACAAGTCAGCCCACCTTTTGATAAATAATTTCGAACTGTAATAAAATACCTCCACATTTTCCATACTAGTCTTTTTGTTTGCATAACACTTTAATTATTTTTTTTAATTATTAAAATTGTAGATTCACAGACTTTATTTTCGACACATTATTTTAAATATGCTGCTAAAATATAGCTATTAACTTCCTTTTTTTTTTTGGTGGGCCCAGTGAAAATTTTGGCAGGGCAAGTAAAAATCTGAACCACTGGCCCGATCAGACTAGTACAAAAAATCCTTAGCGTTGAACCCTGATGTATAATATTTTGCAACAGTAAACGTGTCAGGCTCAATAGTTATTATTGATTTCTGCTCTCTTCATTTGTTTCAAAAGCACAGATTCATTTACAACACATACAAAAACTTTACATATTCCCTGGGAACGGCATAACAGAACACTTTAGCAGAATTAAAACCTTGACTTTTCCAAACCGCAGTAAACCTTGAAACCGGTTATCATCCCATGCCTAAAAGGGTCTATAATATTAGCAGTATATTAAAAGAAGTACTTTTAAAATCAATTCACCACTACATGAGTTCATAAGCATGTTTTTTTTTACCTCACTGACCTCTTTGTTGACTCGAGGACGGCATAATCGTTTCAGGTGGGGCTGAATCTCTTTCAGACTACCCTGATGTTTACCCCGACAGAGCTCCAGAAGATGCTGCGCAAAGTAAGAGATCAAATCAACGTCCTGTTTTAAAACTTGAAAATCCAGTTTCTTGAAAAGCCAGATCTGTTTTTGTGGACATTTCCTACCCTTGCTCGTAAGCCAAGTATCAGCTGGGCTCTTTGGTTTTGATTCAGAAGCTCTGGAATGGTCTCTGTTACTAGACTCACAAACTCCTCCAGCATCCCATAATGCTTCACCTGTCTGCGTTCGGTCACCTGCCACATGGCCGCGGACAGTAACCTCAACGGAGGAACCGTGAAGCTCATCAGTGACAGTGGGTCTGGTATGAAAACAAGACCATTAGAAAACACATGAGTCATTTACGTAGAACAAATAACAAACAAATAAAAGCACTAAAAGCATGTAAAGCTCTGAAAGCAACTACATTTGAAGAATTCAGATGCAAAAAAACTTTAAGTGCCATCTGAAATAATGAACTTTTTTCTCAGACTGCTGTGTGCATTTTCAATCAATTCACTTTTATAGCAAAGAATAGGTTCAATTTTCATTGACTTTAATGTAAAACAACTGAAAATAAACATAGGAGACTAAGACAAATGCTTATTTTAGGAGACAATTACAGAGGTTTTTGCACCTGAACTCTTCATTTATGTAAATATTTATTTATTTACTTTTCTCAGCAGCTAAAGTTAAATTAATTGAATATGTAACTCCTCTTGTTCTTAAGACCTTGAATGAATAAAGTATAAATAAATTAATAAATAAAGTTATGTATAAAAAATAAAAACACGTGATAAATCTTTTAAAACAAGCAAGAAAAACCCTATAAACATGATGCTCTGAAAGCAATTCAATTTAAGTGAATATCTATTTATGTACTTTTGCTCAACAGCTAAAGTTGTATTATTTGAATATGCAACATCTTTTGTTCTGGAGATATTGAATAAATAAGGATATAAATGAAAGTCATGTTTACAGAAATTGAAAACACATTACAAATATTTTAAAACAAGCAAGAAAAACACTAAAAGCATTTAATGATTTAAAAGCATTTCAATTTATCCAAATATCTTTTTTTTATATATATATATTTTTCTTCTCAGTCAAAGATGAAGTGTCTGAATATGTTACTAGCCTCGAGCCTCAGCTGGGTCAGTTGGCATTTCTGTGTGGAGTTTGCATGTTCTCCCCGTGTTCGCATGGGGTTTCCTCCGGGTGCTCCGGTTTCCCCCACAATTCTAAAAAGATGTGTGAATTGGGAAGGCTAAATTGTAAGTAGTGTATGTGTGTGGATGGGTGTTTCCCAGTGATGGGTTCCAGCTGAAAGCGCATCCGCTGTGTAAAACATATGCTGGATAAGTTGGTGGTTCATTCCGCTGTGGTGACCCCAGGTTAATAAAGGGACTAACGTTAAGCCAAAAAGAAAATGAATGAATGAATGAATGAATGTAAGTTAATAAATCTTGTGGCACTGAATTAATGAAGTATGTTGATGTTTTTTTTTTTTTTTTTTTTGTTTGTTTTTTTCGAAAACACTTGTATGGATGTTTAATAACGTTAATAATAATCTTCATGCATATGTGGAAATTGATATTCATGTGATTTTACCTCATAGACTGGATTAAAATAGCCTTAAAATATTATAATTACATTGCTGTTCTTAAAAAAACTAATTATTATATTATATTGCGTGATATAAATATCGACAAGATATCGATACATATGACGCATTATCGTTTTAAAAATCATACGTGACTTACATTATTACAATTCTTACACTTTAAAATAAAGCTTTGTGGTGATTTATTTTACCAGGAGGAGGAAAGAAACGAACAGGGAAATGAATTTACTTACCTTCGATTTTGTTCGTCCACAGCGCTTCCATTGTTTACAACTTCAATCAAGTTTAAACAAACTCTAAATGAATATATTCAGCAGTCGTGAGACATATTTCAGAAGAAACGCGCTATGAGGAGAAATACTTTTTCATTTCGACGCGTGTCCACCTGTCCTTTTCGCTGGTTTCAAAACACAGGACTGAGCGACACAGATTCCGGTCTAATCCGCTTTGGTCTGGTCTACAGTGTAATTCTAGTTCTCCCTCTGGTGGTGCAAAACCACATTATGCTAGTTTTGCGAGACCATCTCTCAACTGCAGCTCTCAAACCACTTATCCTATCATAGCTGTTTTGAACGCCTTTTACAGTTAATGTTGTTCAGTCTAGACCAGTTTAGGACGCGGGTTTTTACACATTGTGGATTTACGTTCATATTACTAAAGAATATATCAAATTATGGCGACTTTTATTATGAAGCATGTGTCGGTGGATTTAGCTAATGAATATTTAATTTGCTGATGCCAACGTTGCTTGGGTAACCTTCCTGAAGTTTCGATCACGTGCTTTATTCATATTCATAAGCCACCACACCAACCTCTATTATTGGCGGACGTCGCGTTACGTCATTGATATTCATGAGGCAAATCTTCGCCATAATATCAAGATAATTCCGCCGTCTGCCATTTAAATCACTGTTCTTTAACTGTCTAATGATTATTTTAATACTATTTAGATGACAATAATGCTACTTTAATGGGTTAAACAACAATATAGATGCCTGTACATTTGATTATTCTCTAATGTAATAGAGAATAATGAAATAGAGTAACGTTATAGTATATGATAGTATATATTGGGGTACTCTAATGACTGTAATATTGCATATTATACATCATCCTGAGACTCACTAAATACTTTATACTGTAGTAAATATATACTGTTCTATTGTTGTAAATGCTGTTTTGCTATTTGTAATTATTTTATGCATCTTAAATATATATATATATATATATATATATATATATATATATATATATATATATATATATATATATATATATATCCTTGTGTTTATATTTGTATTCATTTTTTATTTATTATAATGTTTATTAAATGTTTCTATATTATGTTTATTTTATTAATATATTTAATAATTTTTATTTTTAAGAGTGCACACTTAGCTGATGATTGATTATAAAGCTTGGCATGCTGTCCCGAAAGAGGGCCCTGAGCTCATAAGATCACCGAGCCTGGGACTCCCTCCCGTTTGCAGGGCGAGAGGGGAGTTTGAGCTCAGGTAGATCTTGAGAACTCCCCTGCTGTAGAAGCTAATGAACATATAGTGATTGCTAGGAGCATGTCTATGGTGCCGATTCGGATTAGTCAATTAACTTAAGTCGCATGTTTTTGGATAGTGGGAGGAAACCGGGGAACCCACATGAGCACGGGGAGAGCATGTAAACTCAGCACTGAAACATCAGCTGGCTTGGTAAGGACTAGAACCTTTGACGTTCTTGCTGTGAGGCAACACTGCTAACCACTGGGCCACAGTGCCACCCATCTAGGAAAGAAGGAGGAGTAGGGGTGGAAGGGCTGGATTCTTTATAATGAAGATGGCTGTTACATGGAGCTTAGGGTATTTATAGTGGCTTAGAAACCATCTGGTTGGTGAATCATAGATTGCATGAAGAGGGATCGGCTGCAAGCAATCATAAGCACATTATCCTCTCGAAATTAGTTAATAAATAAACTTCACTATACACATTTTAAATATATTAAAAAGCAATAGCAATTTCAGATGTTATAGTAACATTTTTAACTAATGACTATATATTTTCTAAACTAAATTCTAACAACATGCACAGTTAATGCATTCAATTCATACATGAAAAACATACATACACATTTTATATGATTAAATGTTCTAATTTTAATATAAATATAAAATAAAAATACAGACAATTTCCTTTTTTTATATAAACTACTTTATTTCAAAACATGAAAAAACATCTACAGACAGAACAAAACAAAAGAAAAACATCACAGAAGCAAAAATCACAGATCTTTTGTATCCAGTTTGCGAAAGAAGTAACATTTAACTTCCAATAACTTCAGAGAAATCAGAGTACTGTCAAATCCAAACGGGTGAAATAGCACCAAAGACAAAATCCAAAGCACATCATAGAGGTTTGCAGGTGGAGATCTCCTATAAGGTGGAGATCTCCTATAAGGTGGAGATCTCCTATAAGTCATTAGGTGATAACAACTCTAAATCACAGCACTGGATGATGTTTATTACAGTAGTCTGGCAGGGTCAGTCATTCACATAACAGTCTGAGGAGTTTACAAATGAGCGTCTGCATTCATGAAGATTAATCTTTCATATTTTAATGTCGAATGTTTAGCAGACGGAGCATATGGTGTTAAAGAATTAGATGATCCACCATGATCCCCTTCAATGTGTCTGCACCAATCAGATACCTTCATTAGTACTTGTATTTGCTTTTAGAAGAGTAATGACTAATAGAGTTAAATTTTCTGTGTGTGTTTTTGTGTGTGTGTGTGTGTCTATGCATGAAGTAAAATGTGATCCAGGGACTCTTTTAAAGGAACTGAATGTTCGTGGGCCTTTTATTTTCTTGTAAAATACCTTTTTTTTGTAATTTTACAAAAAAAAAAAAAAGAGACAAGAGCCTGCATTTATGAAGATTTATTACATATTTTTAATGTTTAGCATAGTGTGCATATGGTATAAAACGATTTATCAATCCACCGTGATCCTCTTCAATGTGTCTGCACCAATCAGATACCTACATTAGTACTTGTGTTTGCTTTTATAAGAAAGGAAATGCAACTCTAAGACTAGCAGAGCTCGATATTTATGTGTGTGTGTCTATATATGAAAGAAGTGAACCAGGGACTCTTTTAAAGGAACTAAATATATTCATAGCCCTGACAACAAAAACCCTGACCTACACTGCCAAAAACAAGGTAATAGGACAGTGATCACTTCCCATGGCAGTGTTTCGGATCTTGCTGTCGCACAAACCCGGCAGCAAAGCAGACGACAGCACAAAGTAGTCCAAACGCCAACCCACGTTTTTGGAGCGAGCGTTCATCATGTAGGTCCAGAAGGTGTAGGCGTAGGCCTGATCTGGATAGAGCTCCCGAAAACTATCAGTAAAGCCGGCCTCCAGGAGCTGTGTGAAGCCCTCCCGTTCCTCAGGGGTGAAGCCCGCGTTCTTGCGGTTTCCCTTGGGGTTTTTCAGATCGATCTCCTGGTGGGCCACGTTCAGATCTCCACACAGCACCAGGGGTTTGCGCGCGTCTAAACCGCACAGGTAGGCTCGGAAATCCACATCCCAAGTCTTGCGGTAGTCAAGCCGCACTAAACCACGACTGGCATTAGGCACGTACGCCGTGACCAGGAAGAAATCAGGAAACTCGGCAGTGATGACCCGGCCCTCTTTATCGTGCTCCTCTTTACCTAGAAACGTACGGAGGTTTTTAAAGTAAATGATGACTGACGTTTTTAAGTTTTGGGTGAACTATCCCTTTAATGAAAGATAAAGCTGCTTGCTGTAAGTCAGGGGTGTCCAAACTGGTCCTGGAGGGTCGGTTTCCTGCATAGTTTAGCTCCAACTTCCTTCACACACTTCCTAGTATACCTTGAAAATGCTTGGTTAGCTGGTCCTGGTGTGTTTAATTGGGGTTGGAACTAAAATATGCTGGACACCGGCCCTTCAGGACCTAGTTTAAGTGCATTATAACTCAGTTTGGAGAATACATAAGCATGCATGGTTACTCTTACCAATGCCATAGGTGACATTGAGTGGTTCGGTCTTGCAGAGCATGGCCACTCCACTGTAGCCCTCCTTATCCTCTGATCCTGCCCAGTATTTGTGTGGATACTCTGGCATGCCAGTGATGTCCGCCGGCAGAGCTTTCTCAGCACACTTGGTTTCCTGCAGACACAGGATGTCTGGATCCTCCTTCCGCACCCACTGCAAACACACAGCAACAGAGCAGAAGAAATCAGCCGCAGACATAGAGACAAGGGCCTGTTTTATGGCTGTTCAGACGCATCTGAATGTTTACACTGTGACAGAAATCTGATACAGATGTGCTGATATTCAATCCTCATAACAGTTATCATAGGCCCCGTTTACACTAATGCGTTTTAGTTTGAAAACGCATAAGTTTTGCTACGGTTACGCCATCCGTCCACACTACGCCGGAGTTCTCGAGCGCCGAAAACGGAGCGTTTCGAAAATGCTGGAGAGGCCGTTTTCATTCTAAAACGCTGCTGCTCCGTCTCAGTGTGGATGGGGAAAGACGGAGACATCTGAAAACGGAGGCGGGGCTGCAGACATTCGCCTCTCTGATTGGGGCTTTTCCTCAATATTAAGTAGCCTAACACACAGTTCAGTCCTGAATCTTCTCCGTGTAAGCTCAGACTTCGCAAGTTTGATCAAGGCTGCATCTCTTCTTCTCAGTTTGATATGGAAAACATACCGAGGACACGCGTCAATCTTCACAGGGAACAGTGTACTTTATAACTTCATTCACATCACCTTGGCTTCGTTGTTTCACTTTCTCAACAATAAAATGTAAACTTGATATAAGGAACTGCCTATTTTTATTTTAATATTAACAACTAAACAGACAGCAGAAATGTTGAGGCGTCGTGCTGCATAAGATGAGCGTCATCTTCACTGTGTGGATATTTATAACAAAACTGCCTCCTTTCAATTTCAGTGAAAATACGAAACATACCCTCTCTTTTGCTGAATATCAGTTTTAATAATCGATAATGGCCATTATAAAAGTATAACATACAATAAGTTTATACATTATAGGAAATAAAGGCAAGCGATCAGTCAATATACAGAATGTAGGCTATGTGCTTACATTAATCATTAACTTATCTTTGCGCTCAGCCAAAACACGTTACCTGAGAACAAGTAATAGATTCCAATGACCAAAGTCAGGGAATATGTTGTTAGATAAAGACAACAAGATGAATGAAATATCACGTTTAATAAATATAGTAAGATTAGATCCAGCGGGAGACGCTTGATGAGAAGTCCGACTAGCAGAGCTCTCATCTGGGTAGATGGGCTGCAGCGCTTGCCCGAGAGTGTCTGTGTGGTCACGTGATGTGCGTTTTCAGCGTTTTGGTGTGGACGGAGAGCAGTTCAGAAACGCTGGGTAAAACGTGAGCGTGGACGCGGATCGTTTTCATTCTAAAACGCCGTTTTAAAACTAAAACGCACTAGTGTAAACGGGGCCATAGGCGCTAAGACAAATTCGAGGGCCTTCTAAGAACACTCAGACTTTCGTCTTCTTCAAGGGTTTTCAATAGAGCACCCAATGCTTGAAGACTTAAGGGGATAGTTCATCCAAAACTGAAAATTCTGTCATCATTTAAAAACCTGTTTGAGTGTCTTCCTTCTGTTAAACACAAAAGATATTGCGTATAATGCTGAAAACCTGTAACCATTCACTTCCATAGTATTATTTCCTACCATGGAAGTCAATGGTTACATTCTTCAGAACATCTTCTTTGGTGTTCAACAGAAAAAAGAAACTCAAAAATATTTATAACCACTGGAGGGAGAGTAAATACAGAGGACATTTTCATTTCTGGGTGAACTAGAACTTAAATAAACTCTTTTCAAACAAACATTTTCACATGAATCTGGCCCCCAATATACCCCAGATATCATCATGGAAGTGTTCTGATTCTTTCTAGGTTTACTGTTCATTAATACTTTGCAGTAAAGCTCCATTTGTTAACATTAGTCAAACCACTTATTATCTATTATTTTATCTATAATACTTTATAAACGCTTTGGATTTATTTAGTTTGATGCATATATATATACACATACAGTTGAATTCAGAATTATTAGGCCCCCTGTTTATTTTTTCCCTAATTTCTGTTTAACAGAGAGCAGATTTTTACATACACATTTCTAAACATAATAGTTTTAATAAATCAATTCTAATAACTGATTTATTTTATCTTCATCATGATGACAGTAAATAATATTTGACTAGACCATCAAAAAACTACAGCTTAAAAGGGCTAATAATTTTGTCCTGAAAATGGTGTTTAAATTAAATTAAAATTAAAAATTAAAAACCGCTATTATTCTAGCCGAATAAAAACAAGACTTTCTCCAGAAGAAAAAAAAATTATTAGTCATACTGTAAAAATTTCCTTGCTCTATTAAACATCATTTGGTACATATTTGCAAAGAAAAAAAATTCAATGAGGGGCCAATAACTCAGACTTTAACTGTGTCTCTTTATATAGCTATATAGACATATATGTATGTATGTATGTATGTGTGTGTGTGTGTGTGTGTGTGTGTATATATATATATATGTATATATATATATAACACCTGTTAAAATAATTCTTTTCTGAAGCTTAAATTAACATACTTAAAATATATTGAAACTATATCGTAATAAAAGATGCATGACAAAATAAAAAAGGTGTCAAATCAAAATCTGAACAGAGAGATGTTGTTGGAACGGGTGATAATGTGTTTTGACTGGCCACTAGTGTTTTGAACTAATCACATTAAAGAGATAATCCCCCCCAAAACTGAAAGTTCTGTCATTATTTGTCATCCTCCACTTGTTCCATACATGCTTGAGTCTTTTCTTCTGCAGAACACAAAAGAAGACACTTTAAAAAAAAAAAGCTTAAAACCGGTAACCATTGATTTCCATCTGTTTTTCATACTATAGAAGTCAGTGGTTACAGGTTTCACAGTTTCTTCAAACTATCTTCTTTTGTGTTCAACAGAAGAACGAAACTCATAAAGCTTTTAAACCACTCGAGGGAACAAAGTAAAACCTCATTTTTGGGTAAACTATCATATAAACTTGAACAAAAACAGTGGCACAGACTCTAAATAGAGCCTATTCAAATGAAAAGAGCTCACAATAATACACAACGAATGTGTTCTTACATCAAGTCCGTTCTTTTTGACCCACGCCCGCAGGCCGTCCACATTCCAGGAGGTGATCTTCATATTGGCTGCCCGGCCGTCCTTACTGGTCAGCTTTTCTGGAGGATCTTCATATAGAATGGGGGCCTCGGGCTCTTTCCCCTTTTTCTCTTTCTTTGCAGCTGCTGTGACAGAAATATTAATGTTATCTGCAGTCTGTGAGGATGCAAACTCTTTTAATACATTGATTATTATTAATAATAACAATGCACTGTTACCAGTTCCATTGTCAGACTCTCCATCAACACCTTCCTCGTTCTTCTTGGCTCTTTTGGGCATGTTTACAGTTGTTTTCAGGCCACACACACGAAAGAAACTGACAGCACACACACGTACACCTACAAGAGAGGACATGCGCAGTGGTATGCGTGAATGGGCGATGCAACCCGTTTCATAACAGAGGTCATATAACTTATTTTGGTTTGCACATGTGATCAAAACACTTACATAAAGTGCGTGATCTGCATAAAGCAAAATGCATGTGCTTGCAGTATGCTGGAATAACGAGCGAGCATGAATTAGCCAAATGTGTGAGTTAGCCAGAAGTGCGGCCTGAATGAATGAAACAATGAAGCAGCACTGACTCGCACGCCTGGCTTTAATAATGGACGTATTTACATATGTACAAGTTAGCGAGTCAGTAAATATACACATGCATTTCATCATACACAGACATATCTTTCTTACCCAACACTTTATTGTTTAGTTCAGATAACAGAGAAAGCTCAATCTGTGCAGAAGTGTGCACCACTCCGCACGGACGGGTAGATGAATGTGATTGTGCATGAGGAGCACGCTTGCTTCCACGCTTAGAGCCGTCCCAAATATTGCCTGACCGAAATATAAGTTTAAAAATTGTTTGTTTAAAAAAAATTGAGTTTTTGTTTTATACTTGAGAAAAGTATGATTATATGTTCACTTTCAGTGTATTTATTTAATAGTATTACTTTATTTCTACATTTTGTCCCCATCACAGTTGTCCAGGCACTTTAAAAACGACATTGACCGTTGTTATGGTCCTGCTTTCAACGAGTGTGCGGTAAGTATGGAGGAGTTTTAGGAAATAAATGATTAAGAGATTAAATTAAGAGTATTAATACATTCATTATCATAATTAAACCAAACTACGACCACCCCGACAATTGTTACGATATTATTGACGACCATGCTCTTGTATTCTAATGTCTTAAAAAAGCTCCTACAGTCATTTGGTAACGTTATAGGTTGAGTTTACACTCTACATCTACAGTATCTACCGTTACATATATATTATATAATCTACAAGAGTTATAGAGTTATGTTTATATCGACACAAATATTATTAAGTGGAATCCCCGTCATTTAGCAGTATTTTATAAATGTTTATACATATATAAAGTCATATGCACACGATAATATGTCTGTATTAAATTAAATCAAACTTATAAATGTTATTTCATGTGCAACTAAAGCATATCAAATGCAATGTTCCTTCAACATTCAGTGTAATATTGCTAATAATAGTTATGCTAACCTGACAGTTTAATAAAAAGTAAATCATAACACTAAATTTGATTAAAATTAAATGATTAAAAACAACTTGGGAACCAGTGGGAAAAACCTTGTAGCAGAACAGTGTTTCCCAACCTTGTTCTTAAAGGCACACCAACAGTACACTTTTTCAAACTCTTTGCTATTTAAACACACCTGAATCAACTCATCAGAACATAAGAAGAGACCCCAAAACCTTAAGTTAACGGGTCAGATAAGGGAGACATCCAAAATATGTACTGTTGGTCTGCCTCTAGGAACAGGGTTGGGAAACTCTGGGTTCGAAGAATAGTGGCAAAGAATAAATTGTAAACATAATATATCTGTATATGAATATATAAAAATTGTGGTCACACTTAACAATAAGCTTTTATTAATGTATTTACTAACATGAGCTAATAATAAACAATACAGCATTCATTAATCATAGTTCAACATTCACTAATGCATTGTTAACATCAAAACTCATGCTTGTTAACTTTAGTTAATGCACCCTGAGTTAACATGAACTAACAATGAACAACTATTTAATTAAGGTTAACATGAACAAGTACTGTAATAAATGTGTTGTAATTGCATTAACTTATACAAACTTATTGTAAAGTGTTACCCGAATTGTGTGTATGTATATATATATGAAGAAATACTTTTTCATACTGATGTTAAGAGTTATCAAAAGCCTAAAGATGACTTTCATCAGATGATTCCCGTTTCTCTCTCTCTGCAGACACAATGACGATAGTGATTGGTTTTGAAGGCAGTGCTAATAAGATCGGCATTGGTATTATTAAAGATGGAGAAGTGCTGTCAAACCCAAGACGAACTTACATCACCCCACCTGGACAAGGTGAGAGCATCAGACCACACCTGTAAAATCATAAACAGTGGCATATTCACATACAAGTACCATCATGATACCATAACTCATTATACCTCCTCAGGGTTCCTACCGGGCGAAACTGCCAAACACCATCGCAGTGTGATCCTCACGGTCCTCCAGGAGGCTCTCGATGAAGCAGGCCTGAAAGCTGCAGATATTGATTGTGTCGCGTACACAAAAGGTGAATTATGATTTACTTGCAAGTGTTTTTCCACAACTCATGGTGTCCGCGGGGTCTTAAATTTCAAAAACTAAATTTGAGGCCTTAAAAAGTCTTAAATGAACAGAATATAAATTGTACTGTAGGTCTTAAATCATTTTAAACGGGTCTTAATTTTCCAATGCACATATAAAGTTACCCAATCAGGCCAACATCCATACAATCACCAACAATCCATCTCAATGCATTTCAATTTTATTTATATATAACTATTGACAACTATTAAGATTAAAGTGGCCACAGTACAATATCAGTATCATGCATGTTCGTTATTACAATTTATTGAATATGTGCATCCGTCTAGCTCCACTTCTCAAATGTCTCCTGTTGTACAGGGCCTGGAATGGGGGCTCCGCTGGTGACAGTAGCCATTGTGGCCAGGACAGTCGCCCAACTGTGGGGCAAGCCGCTGTTGGGAGTCAACCACTGTATTGGGCACATAGAGATGGGCCGATTGATCACCAATGCCCAAAACCCCACTGTACTGTATGTGAGCGGAGGAAACACTCAGGTCAGTTTTTAAACTCAGAGAAGTCTGGAAATTGGGTGACGCAGTTGCACAGTAGGTAGTGCTGTCGCCTCACAGCAAGAAGGTCGCTGAGTCGTTGGTTCGATCCTCGGCGTTTCTGTGTGGAGTTTGCATGTTCTCCCTGCGTTCGCGAGGGTTTCCTCCGGGTGCTCCGAATTCCCCCACAAGTCCAAAGACATGCGGTACAGGTGAATTGGGTAAGCTAAATTGTCCGTAGTGTATGATTGTGTGTGTGGAGGCTTCTTAAAGATGGGTTGCAGCTGAAAGCGCATCCGCTGCGTAAAAATGTGCTGGATAAGTTGGCGGTTCATTCCACTGTGGCGACCCCAGATTAATAAAAGGACTAAGCCGACAAGGAAATAAAATGGAAGTCTGGGAATTTTATATAGATTTTTATTTTGTCTAAGTCATGGTATTTCTTTTGTTTGTCTACACTAACTCAGACACTACAACTAACTCAAAACATCAAGTTACTTTTTGTTATCATTAGTGTACTTTTGTAAAGGTGTAATCACCATTTTGATTTTACTTTATTACTATCCTGCTCATCAAGGGAGAGAAACAGATTTGAATGTATGGCCATATCAGCTTTTCTGCCTATTTCATGACAAAACCAATTCAAAGTTATTCAAAGTTAAAAAATTTTTAACATTTACTTTTGATCAAAATTCCTTTCCTGCTCATTAACTGTAGTCAATTTCAATCAAGCAGTACCTGTTAACCAAGTCAAACATACAATTCAAGAGCTTTGGCCACAAAACGACCACTTCAAAGATCGGATGGTCCTCTTTCTTTTCAAAATATGAGGTAAAGTTTACACTGTTGCTCTCAAAATGGTGATTACATTCATGGAAAATGATATTCAAGCTCAAACTATTTTAATATATCGCAAAGCACAACAGCACCTTTTTTTTCTGGTCATCATTTAGCGTACAGATGTAGTCAGGGAATTTGGAACCCTGAAAAGCACCTTAATATTAAATGTAGAGACACATCAATAGCGTACATTCCTGCATTCTCATGTTTATGTATTCTCTTTACTGTTTTTCTCGACAGGTCATTGCATATTCTGAACGACGTTACAGAATATTTGGAGAAACTATCGACATTGCTGTGGGAAACTGCTTGGATCGGTTTGCCCGGGTCATTAAGGTCAGCATTTAGGAAGCTAAATACAAGCTCCGTTTCTGTAAGATTGTGTTATTTTAAGAATTTACTGCTAATTTTGATATTTACAGATATCAAATGATCCCAGTCCCGGATACAACATTGAACAGATGGCAAAAAAGTACATTTCCATGCGTCTCAACTTCAACTGCTCATTTAAAAGCTGTCATTTGTGTAATAAAAACAGTTATTTGCCTAATAAATATTCATTTTGTTTAGGGGCAACAAGTATATCGAGCTGCCATACACAGTCAAGGGGATGGATGTGTCATTTTCTGGGATTTTGTCCTATATCGAGGTGAGATGAATGACTAGATTTCTACATTTCTTTGTGAAAATGCACCGATTCCTTCATATTTCATTTGCATTGTGTTCAAATGCAGGACGCCGCTCACAAAATGTTGAGTACAGATCAGTGCACGCCTGAGGATTTGTGTTTCTCCCTTCAAGTAAGTATTTGAACCTACAGTGTGTATTTACCACATAACAAATGTTGATGGTGAAGCGTTACTAATAATTATGTGATTGACAGGAGACTGTGTTCGCTATGCTGGTGGAGATCACAGAAAGAGCCATGGCCCACTGCGGCTCTCAGGAGGTCCTGATTGTCGGTGGAGTCGGCTGTAAGTGCAGTCATCTGTTGAAAAATGACGCTTTAAATCAGGAATCACCAAACTTGTTCCAACCCTAATCAATCACACCAGAACAAGCTAATCAAGGTCTTACTAGGTATATTGGAAACATCCAGGCTGGTGTGTTGAGGCAAGTTGGAGCTTAAATCTGCAGGGACACCGGCCCTCCAGGACAGAGACCACGGGCTTTATGTGTCTTGTGTTTAAAGTCGGTTTCAAATGATGTACAGCAGGGGTGTCCGGTTACCTGCAGATCTTAGCGTGAAATTGCCTTAACGCACCTGCACGGATGTTTTCTAGAATGCCTAGTAAGAGCTTGCCCAGTTGTGTCTGATTGGGGTTGGAACTAAACTTTGCAGGACACCTGACCTCCAGGACTGAGATTGGACATCCCTGCTGTAAACAAAATGGCAAGCCTTATTTCTTGCACATCACTATAATATCCAAGTCTGCAACTAAGGCATTGGTTGAACAACTCGATTGCTATTATTTATTTTCATATATACACTAAACCAGCACTCAAATCAAGATAGTTTGAAAGCATGTAATCAAGATCTTCTAAAAGTTCTCAATTCTTAAATGACATCTGTATTTTAATTCATTGTTGGGGGAAAATGAATATACACAGTGACTAATGACTTGTTTCCATGACCTGTTTGTTAACGCACTTGAAGGGATTATAGGGACACGAAGGGATAGTTCAGGCAAAAAATAAATTCTCTCACCATTCACACTCTTTGAACAATGTTAGAGTTTTACTGCTGTAAACGCAGCCATTGACCAGCCAATACTATGAAAGTATACTCATTATTTGTCTAACAAGAGAGAGCTTTGATTTTATTTCAGCTTCGCTAGCTATGGCAAAACAAAATGTGCAAACATTTTATAAAAAGCACTTTTCTATTTAAAAAAAACAGACATATAACAAAGACACTAACATTATATTAAAAAAAGATTTAAAATCTAAAATAGTTTAAGATTTACTTTTGATTAAAGTTGACATTTGTGAAGGATTCACATTTAAAAACATGTTAAATACTCTACAGATAAAGGTCATGGTCTGACAGCATTAAAAATAGGGCATTTCTAAAGTATGTATTTGACAAATCTTCAATTTTGGGTGAGCTACGCCTTTAAAGTGCTCCAGACATTACAAACCGGTTAAGTCTAATATGACAATATACAAGTATAGTGCAAATGTTGAGATATACTAGAGTTCCAACATTGTATGCCTGGATTTTAATGTTAACAGCTCACCCAAAAATGGAAATGTAATCATAAATCATTCAAACTGTTGTCTTTTATTTTCTGTGAAACAATAATTTTTTTTAAAGATAGCTGGAAACCATAGTAGGAAAAACAAATAATATCTATATACAAATACTACCAACATTTATGAGAAGATCCCCATAAATGTTTGAAACTAGGGTGTGTAAATGACATTTTTGGGTGAACTATCCCTTAAAATTGCCCTAAATATCGGCATTTGTGCATTTATAGAAGAACTACAATCTATAGACTTCAAGTGTCCATTATTGGGGGCACTAATTCACCCAAATCTTCTAATTTGTGTCTCATTTTCTGGTTTCTGCTGTTGTTCTACAGGTAATCTCCGCCTGCAGGAGATGATGGGGGTCATGTGTAAAGAACGAGGCGCTCGAATTTTTGCCACAGATGAGAGGTGAGAAAAATCTGTTTTTTTTTTTACAGCAGACCCTGATGAGTAGCTTCTTCTTATTAAATTATTGTAAATCTCTTGCTATGATATGCTGCCTTCAGCTTTTGTATCGACAACGGAGCCATGATTGCACAGGCCGGTTGGGAAATGTTCCGCTCTGGTCACGTGACCGAGCTTCCAGACTCCTGGATTACACAAAGGTAAACAGCTCCACAAATAACTATTAGCGTCAGTTAATAAAAGTGTTTGCTTTGGGCTCCGCTGATGAGATAACGCTGCTGCTTTATCTTGAGCCTGCTGGTTTTTCCATTGCATGCTGATATTAAATGTACACCGGTGTTTTTATGGTTTTAACGATGACGTTTCGTGTGTTTCAGGTACAGGACAGATGAAGTGGAGGTCACATGGCGAGACTGATGTGTGCAGTGCCTGATGTTTACCAATTTAAATGTCATTAATCATGCTCTAAATGTCACATTGCAGTCAATAAATTCTGTTATTCATCTTTACGCAATATTCTTTTTCATGTTTCAAATCGGTTTAGATTCTCCTTAAAGGTAGACTTTGTGTAAAAACATTGAAAACAATGCATTAATGATGTATAGTAGTTATGTCATGCATAATTATTACACGACTCTCTGGTATACTTCATCCTGATTGGTCAGTCACAATATTTCAAAGTATATTCTAAAACTATTAAGCCATGGGGGCACTTAAAATCGAAAAATACAAACAAAGAGCTGATGCATGTTTGCGTCATAACACTTTTCATGACTTGAGCATGAATAATTACCGAATAAAAGCACTTCTACGTTTTTGTGTACGCTAGCATTTTAAATTTGGTTAAATTTGAAACACCACAATTTATGTTTAAAGCTTGGAATAAAATGCATACAAAGTTTTTTGAAGAAAGACAAGGGGGATATAACCCGAGAGAACTAAATTTTAGGAGGTTGAAAACAAGGACAACTTTTAAAGTTTGTGTATGTCTGTCTGGTGTGAAATTATGGAACAGTCTAGATCAAACTTTCAAACAACGTCAGCATAATAATCAGTTTAAAAAGTTGAGTAAATATACATTATTAAAGGAATATAGCGATGAAGGTGATTGAAAAAGGATAAAACGAGAAAGGTATGGGGAAACTTTAATTAATGGCTATTTGCAGTACTATGTTTTTTTTTTCTTTGGGTCTATGTTACAAAATGTAGCGGTACAAATGGATTTAAACATATGTCAAATATACCAAAAAGATCAAATATGTAAAAAAAGAGATGAGTAAAAGAAGAAATAGGTTTACGTAATAGACGAATGAAGTTGGTGGTAATGGTGTGGGAAAATAATAAGCTTGTGCTTCATCCTACTTAATTTTTCGATCATGCTGAAATGTATTTTTTTTTTTGTTAATGATATTTTATGCATGATATTTTTGATCGAAAATAAATAAAAATCAAATCACATCAGTACTTTAGAAATATTTTTTAAAAAAATGTCTCTGTCAATGTTTAAAAACAATTTTATTCATTTACCCAAGTCACACGAGTGGCAATATCACATCAGTCGCATCCATAACGAAGCTTTTTCCTCATAAATGCAAAAATATTAAATAAATCATGTTCCTTCTATAGTGAGCCAACCCTTATCTTGTTGATTAGCTAATTTTAGGGGGGGTTGATCAATTTAATTCACAGAATTTCTACACATACTGCAAACTCGACTTTTTGGTCACATCCATAACGCATGTTTATTTTCTGGATTTAAAGTACAAAACATGTTTACAGATGAATAATAAAGTGTAAGTCGCATCTAGGAATGCAACAATTAGAGATTTTGGTTGTACGATTATAATTTGAGGAATAATCACGGTTATCTCGATTATTATGCGTTCTTTAATTGCAAACTACTATCACATGAAAACTTTTTATATTTTAAAGTGTTATTTATCGCTGCTCAGTAACTAAATACAGCACAAAATACCAAAAAAACAAACAATATGATCCATTTATCTTTGGACCTAAAAATAAGTGAATAATGCTTTTGGCATTTAAACATAACTAAGAATTTTACACTGAAAATAAAGGACAGTACAAAAATAAATGTTTTTTGTCTAATGTAAATTTAAGCATCATACTAGTTAAGCATTAGTAGTCAAAGACTGCTGAACATGTCTGAAAGGCACTAATCTGCACGCAAACCATGTGCCTCCTTTGGAAATAACGAACTTGTGTGCGTAAATGTGAATGGCCCTTAGTTAAAAACCTCCCCAGCCATAGTTAAAATTAGCATTTGATCCAATGTGCGTGCGTATTGTGGACAAGCTCAGAACTTTAAACTAGCACACAGTTTGCAGAACTTTAAGTTGCAGCAGTTTTGTTGCAGAAACAGTGTTGAGAAGCCTTAACGATTAATTAACCGTGACAAATTAAACCGCGGTTAATAGTGAAATCGGTTAATCGATGCATCCCTAGTCGCATCCAACCATTTTTTTTCTGCAAGCCTCACTTTTACTGAGAGTTAGTGAACTATTACAGCTCAAATGTTTTCTGTCGGTTTACTTTTGTGGCAAGCAGCCATGTAAGAAGCAGGATTACAGCTAGCAAAAATTCAGGCGTTGGGCATTTATTCTGCGAAAACACCGGCTAGATGTACATTATTCCTTACTTAACATGAAGCTGATGGACAATATAGCATCTCTGAAATCATATCACTATTTTTCTACACAGGAAAGGTGGTTTTGAATATAGATGGATAGATTACCGATGTTGAATATTCAGTCTGTACACGTTAAAAATAAAAAGACCACAAAATATTTTAACAAGTTTATTCATTTTGTATTATGCAACACTGTTTGATTAAATCTCTGAACATCTTCCAGTGTAAATTATTTGTATGTCACTAAAAAACGGAACGAAAAAAAAAATTATTGGGTCATACACAGCAACGGATTCCTATTAGGATTTATGACCGACATTCAATCTGGGTGAAATATATATATATATTAAAAAAACAGCATTAAGACCAATAGACATTTGAAGGTGCTGCCATAACGTGCCAGCTGCACCTCTGTAAACTTCATGAGAACAATTTGCATGGGAAGAAAGGGATTATCGTGAAAGGGAAGACTGATGAAAGGACATTCAGAATTCGATTGGGGAAAAACAAGCTCAGTCTTTAGAGAACGGGATGACGTGTTCAACTACAGGTCAGAAAGTGCTCGACTTAACTACTCGCACACAAGTAGGAACAAGGGAAGAATAAAAGGGGTTCTTAACTGTAAAACTGCAGTTCACTGAAATAAAATTGCAGCTTGATAACATCGTTTTGTTTTGTTTTTTTTCTTAAAAGAGACAAATCTCCACCATTAAAATGACAGAGGTATGCAGAGGGACTCTGCGCCTGAGGCAGACTCTGTTGTAAGGCAACCGAGAAGACCAAGACATCTATCTTCAAGAGGAACAAGTCCAAAGCGTCTCGGCAGAAACGTTGAGGGGATGATAACCTGAGTGCGGGGTGTTTGTGTGTGTGTCCTGTGTATGTGTTTGTGGAGGGGGGTTAGTGTGTGCTAGGCGGGCGACTCCAGGGCATTCTTGTACCAAACAACATTTGCAGGGTCTGAAAAACAAAGCGAGTCTGTTAAAGATGGTTTCAAATGGTCTGCTTTATCTTGATTTCCATCTGCTTTTATTATGAGATGGAGAATAGTAGTAAAGGATGACTGGCATCGTTTAATGTTCATATTTTTGTTTGGCTCATGTGTCGGACTTTTGTATTCACAGCATTTGAAAGTTTTATTTTGACTGCAACGGCAGATGCAAGATGTCTCTGCATGCTTTTTTCATGCTTTTCCACTCAGAGTTCGACAGTTCTGTCTGATAAATGAAATCAAATGCATTCTGCGCACAACAGTCAGTCAGTGCAAGGTGGATGAGGTGCAGTTGAACTATAAGCCCTTGGCTTTTAAACTGCACCGCCTCAATATTCATCATTAACTGCATTAAACTAATGATTTGTTGTTAAAATTTGTTTTAACTATTTTTATCTATATTACAAAATGTTGGTGTTTTAGTTTAATTTGTATATATTCATTTTTATTAACATCTACATACCTATGTCTATTTTAGTACTTCTTAACTATGTTTGATTGATTTTAATAATAATAAATAATAATTCCTTACATTTATATAGCGCTTTTCTAGCACTCGAAGCGCTTTACACATAGTAGGGAATCTGCTCTTCCACCACCAGTGTGCAGCATCCACTTGGATTTTTTGCGCCAGACCGCACACCAGCTGATTGGTGGAGAGGAGACAGTGATGAAGCCATTTATGATATGGGGATGGTTAGGAGGCCATGATGGACAGAGACTAGTGGGCAGATTTGGCCAGGATGCCGGGATGAAACCCCTTCTCTTTTTTAAAAGGACATCCTGGGATTTTTAATGACCACAGAGAGTCAGGAACTCGATGTATAATGTACAATTTTTGTATACATGTAATTATACATAGGATGTATAAATTCTTGTATTTTTTTTCAGGGACAACAGATAAAAATAGCCCTCTGGCTAATTCTGGTGCATTTGCAGAAATGCTAACTAATGTACACTGTCCCTAACCAAATAAACAAATAAATAAATACAGTTTTATGGTCTGAGAAAACATGATTTCCAGTTAACACGTTTGCCAGATTACAGTGAACAGTTGACCATTTCCTGTGGGTTTTCTATATTTTAAGAAACTTATTTGTGAAAAATTGCCATTATAGTATTTTTAAAACCAAACTTGTGATATATATATTCATCATTTTAAAAATTTGATCTAGTAACTTAGCATTGCTACTGTGAAAATTAAACACGCATGTAAAGACATATGGTGGATATATAAATAAATAAGTGTGTGTGTGTGATATAGTAATATATAAACACACATATACTGAGATAACCTCGTTGCTAATCAAACAATTGACATTCAGCAAACCACTACTTCATGAAAACGAGCAGACACCAACCTTGTTTTTGCATCCATAATATTGCGCTCCATTCTGTGGAATAAAAACAATCACAGTGAGATAAGACTTCGTGGTGTGGTTAGAAATTAACAGGCATTACAGCTTATAAAACTACACTGTCGTACCTTGTGTGTGATACTCCAAGGCTTCCTCCAGGTGGCGACAGCTGAGCAGCAGCTCCTCCGAACTCTCTGAGTCTCTCGGGACCTGATCAGGCAGAGACTCAGATGCTTTTACAGTAAGCTCTCCAGCAACCGGGTGGAGATCTGGACTCTTTTCCTGTGGAGCGTCTGCTTCTGGACCATCATTGATGAAGCTCAGTCCCCACTGGTTTTGCAGCAAAACCCCAATACCAGGAGGCTCCTCTGCTGCCCCAGCTGAGCCTCCACCTGCCTTCACCTTGGAGGCGTAGCTAACAGTCGGCTGCAGTTTGGCAGGGCTGTCTTTCACAGGGAAAGCAGGTGGAGGTTTGAGCAAAGACAGGCTGTTGTCCACCCATCGCTCCTT